TCGGTATGGGTTTTTTTCCATTTGTTAACTATCAAAGGATTTTATAGTAACTCCAGAGAACTGTCATGTATTTGCTGGCTATAATTCTTCCACCTCTTAATTTAAATATAAAAGCTTCACTAAATTTCTATTGATATATCTAGCATTGCCTCTTCCTGATTTGCTAAAGCTAAAGTCGTTAACTTTCGATGTTCGGTGTTTTGTTCTCCTGTGGGTCATAATCCTTGAAAAAATGGTTGCATGTGTGAAATATAACGGGACGATGGGCTGGATACCCACCTACCTGACTTCTTAATGGGAAGAAGAAAAGTCCCATTTTGGATAGAAATTGGGGGGAAAATAATCTCCCACTGCGATGTCCCCAAGTCAGATTTCGTGTTGCTTCCTGCATTATCTTACGAGGAACAGCTACCAGCAGCAGCTCAGAGTTCACTTCTTGAGCCATCCTGTTCCCTCCTCTGTGGGCCACTTAACTAAAAAAGTCAGAGTAAGAATCTCAAGGGAATCCTGAAAAGTCCTTGGGCCTTCCCTAAGCACTGCAAGAGGAACATCAGGCCCAGAGGACTTTCTCTAGAGTTCCTGTGAGTGCACACATAACTGAAGAGAGAGGATGCTAGTGGGCAACAGTGGGGGGCGCCCGTGGGTGGGGGTCCTGGGGGGGAAACAGCTGGAGGTGGATCCTAACACTGTGGCTTTTGTTCCCTGTTGTCTTAGGGCTTGGAGACCAAAACCCCAGAGATTTGCAACAGGGAACAGCATCCTTGGTAAGAAAGTGTTTAATTTCGGCCTTGCAGCAAAATCCATCACCAAGTCCTGCGAGAAAGGGAGCAGCATGTGGCACGGGAAAACAATTGTTGTTGTGGATACGCCTGGTGTTTTTGACACCGAGGTACAGGATGCTGACACCTGCAAAGAGATTGCTCGCTGCATCCTCCTGACCTCCCCGGGGCCTCACGCTCTGCTCCTGGTGGTCTCACTGGGCCGTTACACGCAGGAAGAGCAGAAGGCCACTGAGAAGATCCTGAAAATGTTTGGACACAAAGCTAGGAGATACATGATTCTCTTATTCACCCGGAAAGATGACTTGGAAGGGACCCACTTCCACGATTACCTAAAGGTAGCTCCAAAAGTCATTCAAGAGCTGATGAAGGAGTTTGGTGATCGCTACTGTTTGTTCAACAATAAGGCGACGGGAGCTGAGCAGAAGGCCCAGAGGGCACAACTGCTGGCCTTGGTCGAGCACGTGGTGATGCAGAATGAAGGAGGATGCTACACTAATGAGATGTACCAAAGAGCAGAGGAGGAGATTCAGAAACAAATCGAAGTGTTGCATGAACGTTACAGAGCAGAGCTGGAGAGAGAGAAAGCGCTGATAAGAGAGGAGTACGAAGAGAAAATCAGAAAGCTGGAGGATGAGCTGGAGCAGCAGAAGAAAATGGCACAAATGGAGAGGGAGTTAGCTGAAAGGGAGATTGTCTGTGCCTCAAGGCAGCGAAATGCCAGAGAAGAGGTTGAGAGTCAG